CCAGTCCCACTCAGACGCCAGCAAGGTGGAGGTGGAGTACTGGTTTGGGCTGGTATCATCAAAGATGAGCTTGTGGGGCCTTTTCGGGTTGAGGATGGAGTCAAGCTCAACTCCCAGTCCTACTGCCAGTTCCTGGAAGACACCTTCTTCAAGCAGTGGTACAGGAAGAAGTCTGCATCCTTCAAGAAAAAACATGATTTTCATGCAGGACAATGCTCCATCACACGCGTCCAAGTACTCCACAGCGTGGCTGGCAAGAAAGGGTATAAAAGAAGAAAATCTAATGACATGGCCTCCTTGTTCACCTGATCTGAACCCCATTGAGAACCTGTGGTCCATCATCAAATGTGAGATTTACAAGGAGGGAAAACAGTACACCTCTCTGAACAGTGTCTGGGAGGCTGTGGTTGCTGCTGCACGCAATGTTGATGGTGAACAGATCAAAACACTGACAGAATCCATGGATGGCAGGCTTTTGAGTGTCCTTGCAAAGAAAGGTGGCTATATTGGTCACTGATTTGTTTTTGTTTTGTTTTTGAATGTCAGAAATGTATATTTGTGAATGTTGAGATGTTATATTGGTTTCACTGGTAATAATAAATAATTGAAATGGGTATATATTTGTTTTTGTTAAGTTGCCTAATAATTATGCACAGTAATAGTCACCTGCACACACAGATATCCCCCTAACATAGCTAAAACTAAAAACAAACTAAAAACTACTTCCAAAATATTCAGCTTTGATATTAATGAGTTTTTTGGGTTCATTGAGAACATGGTTGTTGTTCAATAATAAAATGAATCCTCAAAAATACAACTTGCCTAATAATTCTGCACTCCCTGTATGCGACGGGCTGAATGCGCGCACAGCTATTGCCGTGCGTGCGCATTCAGCCCAGGAGGAGGAACGGAGGAGGAGAGAAGGAGGAGAGCTCTCCGCCCAGCGCTGGAAAAAGGTAAGTTTTTAACCCTTTCCCCCTTCCAGAGCAGGGCGGGCGGGGGTCCCTGAGGGTGGGGGCACCCTCAGGGCACTATAGTGCCAGGAAAACGAGATGTTTTCATGGCACTAAAGTGGTCCTTTAAAGGGACACTCAAGGGTTGGAAGCATTAAAACGTGTGAAGAACATATTAAACTAAAAGGTACCTTTTAAAGTTCTTACACCAGCTGGGTTTACAGCTTGTGCAGTGAGCTCTGTCCTCACCAGGTAGTGACTTAAAATAAATTCAAAGTTCTTAAAGCTACTACACTTGACCTGGCAGTGTGAGAAGCAGAGAGACCTCCGACAGATCCAGAGACCTTATCAGGAAAGGGACTCTATTATTCTGGTTTGTGATTTTCTTTTCTTATCCCCCAAACATCTTTCCTGCAGTAATTTATGGGTACATTCATAACCCCTGTCAAATGTGAGGACACAAGGGAAGAGGAAACTGTCCCAGGAACAGTGTTGAATCTAAGTATTACATTATATCAATATTTACATTATATCAATCACTATAACATACAGAACTATTGAAATAGTGCATCTTCTTCACACTAGCGCACCTCAGTTGGACACTGCATTCCCCTACCCAGAAAGATGTGACTCCAACACAGAGTAGAGTGGGCACTAACTTGCTGGGTTTAACTATTGATTCAAGCATTGGCCTCATACTACTTAAAAATACACTTCTATTTGTAATTATTTGGAAATATATGAAAAAATAAAGCATTGTTTACAGCAGTAAGTGGTTAAGCCATTCAGGAGACTTTTATTCTCTTGAGTGGAATTGATCCCACAAACCTAAGAACACGCACACTGTACAAATGTTCCGTTCGGACTGGCCAAGGAGAACGTACAGCTTCCTGCTCTAATGTCAGGCACTGAAGGAGCTTGCCTATAGCAACAGTGATTTTTGCAAGCCAATGCATCAAGGACTCTGTACAGTGAGAAATTAACAGGCAACCTCCTTGCAGCATAACCTTTATGACCCCACTGTACAGCGCTACAGAATCTGATGGCGCTATATAAATAATAATAATAATGAAACATAAGATGTTATAACAGTTATTATGTTACCTATATACTCGAGTATAAGTCGACCCGAATATAAGTCGAGACCCCTAATTTTACCCCAAAAAACTGGGAAAACTTATTGACTCGAGTATAAGACTAGGGTGGGAAATGCAGCAGCTACTGGTAAATTTCTAAATAAAATTAGATCCCAAGAAATTACATTAATTGAATATTTATTTTGTGTATATAATGAATGCAGTGTGTGTGTGTATATAATGCAGAGTGTGTGTGTGTATGTATATAATGCAGTGTGTGTATGAATGCAGTGTGTGCAGTGTGTGTGTGTATGAATGCAGTGTGTTTGTATGAATGCAGTGTGTGTGTATATAATGCAGTGTGTGTATTTAATGCAGTGTGTGTGTGTATGAATGCAGTGTGTGTGTATATAATGCAGTGTGTGTATTTAATGCAGTGTGTGTGTGTATTGAATGCAGTGTGTGTGTGTATGAATGCAGTGTGTGTGTATGTGATGCAGAGTGTGTTTGTGTATGTGATACAGAGTGTGTAACGTTGGTGGGGGGTGGGCATTTTTATTATTTTTTTAATCATTATTATTTTAATATTAATTTTTTAAATATTATTAATATTTTTATTTTATTTTAATATAATTAAATTTGTTATGTTATTATATTATTTAAATTTTTATTTATATTTTTTTCTTCCCCCCTCCCTGCTTGTTAGCTGGCCAGGGAGGGGGGCTCTCATTCCCTGGTGGTCCAGTGGCATGGGCTGTGTAGGAGGGGTGCTGGCAGCGAGCTGTAACTTACCTTTCCTGCAGATCCTGTCAGCTCCCTTCTCCTGCGTTACGGTCAGCTCCCCGTGGTAACCCGTGGCAACACTCTGACCCCGTGGCTCTCGCGAGATTTACAGTGGTGCTGACAGGGGAGCTGACCAGAACGCAGGAGAAGGGAGCTGACAGGAGCTGCAGGAAAGGTAAGTTACAGCTCGCTGCCAGCCCCCAACAGGACCACCGGACTTGTAATGAGCCTGGCGGTCCTGGTCTGTATTATGGCAATGTAAGTTGCCATAATACAGACAGTGACTCGAGTATAAGACGAGTGGGGGGTTTTCAGCACAAAAAATGTGCTGAAAAACTCATCTTATACTCGAGTATATACGGTACTTTAACTCTGTCTCGATTTTATGTATATACCATGTATCAACTGATAAAGTGCTACATTTATATATAACACACCTTACTTAAATCACTATTCTAACAGATTAACGTGAAAGGGTTAACAGAGATTGTTTTTAATTATAATGATGTCTATCTGTCTTCTCTCTGTCCATCTGTCTGTCTATCCTTAGAGCTCCTTTTTTCATAGCAGGTATGGTGTGATCTGAGCTTTACTTATTAGTCAGACTGTCAGACTGATGGAAGTTTTTTAGAGGAACATAACTCCCTGGGGGCATTTTGTCAGTTCGTATTTTAAACTTGTAGCACAACAGGCTGGTTAGATATGACATGATAGATTCCACGTGTTCCTTAAAAGATGCTTGCTCAATATTAACGCCAAATTATAAAACCATTTTGTGTCTGTGAAAAGGAACCGGTCATATATTAGAGATGAAGAGCCGCGTGATGATGTTAATTAAAAGAAACATATGTATTAAAATAACCTCTCTCTGTGGAGACACCAAACTGTCCAATTATTTATCTACAGACCTATAAATACTGTTTATGTTTCCAGGACAACTTCAGAAGCATGATACGCAACCGTCATGATATTTGAGTTGCCGCAGTGATCCAATAACGTAGATGCAAAATAATGGAATATTGCAGTATTTTGTAAAATGTTTTTATTGAACTAACAGAAATTTGCAGTGACGAGCTTCCGGAAGTTCCTATTTTTGACAATAGTGAAACAAGCAAATTAAGACCTCTATTTAATATTGCTGGATACTTTCCATATCATTTTATATTTTATATATAGTTTTTTAATTATTTTTTTCAACATATTAAAGTATCAAAAATATATCATACATAAAAAAAATTACAAAAATATTATAAAATTATAAAGGAAACCTTTTCAAAAGTTTTGCCAAAAATATTAAACCATACATAGTGAGTCCTACACTAACAATTCTCCTTGTTGCTTTTAGATAAAATTAAAATGTTTAAAAAAGCAAATTCACACTGTTATACAGGCTGTACACGTACTACTTAACATTGTAGCAGAGTGTCATTTCTTCAGTGTTGTCACATGAAAATATATAATAAAATATTTACAAAAATGTGAGGGGTGTACTCAATTTTGAGAGATATTGTAAATGTAATTTATTTATTCTTGCCTAGCCCAGCATTAAAAAGACACTTCAAATACTGGTACTAGGCATTTTTTGTAACCATGTTACAAACGTACATTCACATTAGCCAATGATGGGCTCCCCGTGAGATTTCAGTTCAAACTCTCTCTCATTAAAACTTAATTTAAATGATTTCAGCCAAATTCTTTCAAACTCTGAACATATTAATAATGAATCCTTGTTTAAAAATGCAAAAAAATATCATATCTGTTGGCTGTATGGTACACTCCCCACAGGCACAAAGTGGAAAATCTTCGCAGTGAGTCAAGGGCACTGGAACGGCGCTGATTAAATAATTAGGCCACCCATATGCATATTGTAAGTATACAAAATTAATTACAGCACATGCAGTAAACTATAAATATTGTACGTGTGTGTAAGAAGGACAAAGATACTTTTCTCTAGCACAATGGCTGCTGTGAAAAGCGTGTTATATCAACGGTTGTGAATTTCCACTCCTATCATGCACATCTGACATGTTGCATTCATTGTCTTCAGAGTGATATCACGGTCAGCTAATCACTGTACATTCTGCAGTGGCAAGCTTGTCCAGTGATCTTATTCTTTAATGCGGGCCATCACGGGTGGGTTTGACAAATTGGCCATTTTTTTGAAATTCTTTATTTTTAAGATTTTCGTGTTTGTTTGGGTTGGGGTACAGAAAACAACGGGGGAGTAAGGGTATTGGTACATTCTGCATAGAGTACATTTGGCATTTGTAAGGTATAACAGTCATGCATGTAATTCTTGTGTGTTGTACATACTGCGTTTTCGTCATTTGGTAGTTGCTTATTCTAAGTTACTCTGCACATGACGTTTGTCCTGACTCTAGCTCTTTGGGTCGGGGAAGGGTACAGAATAAGTGGGAGGGAATAGGGGTGTCCTATTTGTCTTCTCCCCCTATCCCCCGTCCCCCCTCCCTCCCACCCCCGCTGCCGCACCGCCCTCTTCTGGGGTCTGTATTGTGTTTGTGCTGTGTGGGAGGCCGTGCGGGAGAGCGAGGGCTGAGAAGAGGGGATGGGCGGGTTGGCATGTGGTTCCATTTATGTGCTCCCTCATGTTACAGCCTTCAAGTGTTTGGGAATCCTTCGTTTGCAGCTGCTGTGTGCTAGTTCATTCTAGGGTTTGGGGCGTGTGTGCTTGCTCTTTGTTGAAGGCGTGCTGTGGTCCGTCGGTTATCGAGGGATGGGTGTTCTAGGGGCGTGTCCGTGGTTGCAAGGCCTGTGTCTCCTGGGTGTTTTGGTGGCTGTTAGGTGTTGTTTGCATGCCTCGGGTAGGGTTGCTATCGGGGGTCTGGTCCCCATATGCTTTTGGACAGGGCGGTTAGGGGGATCGGGGAGGGGCGCGGGTTTCCGCGTTTGGTTGGTTTTGTGTTGGGCGGCTTGGCGGAAGGTGCCGCTCCTCGTCTCGCGCGGGCGGGAGGAGAAGGAGGGGAGGGGGGAAGGAGGGAGGGAGAGAGAGAAAAAAAAGAAAAAAAAAAAAAAGGGGAAGAAATGTAGTTAAGAACCAACACGTCAGGTTGAGGGGGGGCGTCCACCCGTGGCGCTCCTTCTGGTTAGTGCATGTCCGCGGTGCTCGTTCGGCTTGGGTCGAGGCTTGTCGGGGTCACTGATTCGGGCCGTTAAGTGTTAATTCGTTACGTTCTCGTTCAGTTTTGCGTGGTTCGCGTCCCAGGGGTCCCATATGCGGTGGAACGCTTTATACGTATCGTTTATTTGTGCCGTTAGTTCGTCCAGGTTGCGGGTTTCTTTGATTTTGCTTATTATGGTTGTGGTCGTGGGGATTTTGGGGTCAGCCCAAAGTTCTGCTATCGCTCGCCGTGCTGCTAGATTGATGCGGGCGGTTAGTTTGTTTTCACTTCTTGTTAGCGAATCTAACGGTTTGCTGAGAAGCATGGTCCATGGTTGTGTGGTGACTGGTTTGTTTATGATCGTTTCAATGAGGTTGCTTACCTGTCCCCATAGTGGTTTGAGTTTGGGGCATGTCCACCAGCAATGTAGGTAGGAGCCAGTAGCGCCACACAATTTCCAGCACCCATCGTCGGGTTTTCGGCCCATTTTATAGAGTCTTTGTGGCGTCAGATACCAACGGTGCAATGTCTTGTATGCTTGTTCTTTGTGCGTGACGCATACCGTTATGGAGTTTGTCGCTTCCCAGATTTCGGCCCAGTCGCTCGGGTCATCAGGTGGTCCCAAATCTCGCTCCCACGCGGCAATGTAGGTGAGGTTGACCTGTGAGGCGTGGGTCGTCAGTGTGTTGTAGAGGGCGGAGATTTGTCCCGATTGTAGGGGTGCGTCGAAGCACTGCTTCTCGAATGTCGTCGGAGGTGAGGTGCCTGCTTGCTTGATCATGGGCTGTTGCGCCAGGTCTCGGAGCTGTATATATCGGAAATGGTCCGATGTGGTTAGGGTGTCCGCTTGGGGAAGTTCGTTGTATTTGAAGGTTTCTCCCTGGCGGTACAGGTGGAGTAGTCATGATATATCGCGTTGGTCGAATGCGAGGAAGTGTCTCGCTGTCATGCCCGGTGGAAAGAGTTTATTTCGGTATATCGGTGTTACCGGGGAGAGAAAGGAGGAGAGGTCGTATCTCGGGTTAAGTTTGTCCCAGAGGGTCAGTGTGTGAGTGATTGCCGGTGAGGTAGGTGGTGGAAGTGGTCGGTATATGCGTGGCACCCACATGTATGAGGAGGGTTGGTCCCACCCCAGGATGTCATGTTCTAAGTCCACCCAGCGTTTTGTGCCTGGGGGGCGTGCCATTGTTGGATGTGGGCCAGTTGGGCCGCGTTGTAGTATTGCTGAAAGTTGGGTAGTCCGAGGCCGCCTCTAAGTCTAGGGATGTACATTGTGGCTCTGCGAATTCTGGGTCTCTTGGCTTTCCATATGAACTTGTCTATTGCCGCTTGTAAGCGTTGGAAGTCCGATTTCAGTATCGGGATAGGCAGCGTCTGGAAGAGGTAGAGGAATCGTGGCAGGAGGTTCATTTTGATGGTAGTGACTCTTCCCAGCCACGATATCCCCAGTTTGTCCCAGCGTTGCAAGTCTGAGTACGCTGTTGAGAGAAGCGGTGTGTAGTTGAGGCCATAGATGTCTCCCAGTGTCGGAGCCAGTTTGGTGCCGAGATATGTGAGAGCAGTCGTGGTGATGTGGAAGGGGAAGGAGTGGTGAATCAGTTGGAGTTGAGAGGGAGTCATCGCTATTGGCATTAATATAGACTTAGATAAATTGATTTTGTAGCCCGATATGATTGAATATTCGGCGATGAGGGTGAGTGTGGAGTGTAGGGAGGGGATGGGGTCCGTCAACGTGAGGAGGACATCGTCTGCGTAAGCTGCCACGGTGTATGTGTCTTGTCTGATCCGTACTCCTTGTATGGTGGGATGATTGCGAATTGCTTGGAGCAGAGGTTCCAGGGAGATTGCAAAGAGTAACGGGGAAAGTGGGCAACCCTGCCTGGTCCCGTTTGCTATGTTGAAGGTTTGGGCTTCTACAAGGGGGAGTAGGAGCTTCCCAGTTGGGCGATTGTATATTGCCCGGAGGATGTTCAGGAATCCCGGTGGAAAGTTCAGGTGTGCTAATACTCCGTACATGTATGGCCAGAGAAGGCGGTCAAATGCCTTCTCGGCATCCAGTGATAGCACTACCGAGGGGATATTTCGGTGTCTGGTGTACCAGATTGTGTCATAAGCTCTCCTGGTATTGTCTGATGCCTGTCGTTTGGGGATGAAGCCGACCTGGTCTGGGTGAATCAGTAGCGGGAGGAGTGGGTTGAGGCGATTAGCCAGTGCTTTTGTGAGTATTTTCAGGTCGGTGTTTAAGAGTGAAATTGGGCGGTAGTGTCCCGGATCAAGGTGTTCTTTTCCCGGCTTGGGTAGGAGGCATATGTCGGCTGTCAACATGTCGGGGGGGAGGTCGTGTCCTTGCAGCAGTGAATTGAATGCTTTGCAGAGTTGCGGTATTAGGATGGCCTGGAATGTCTTGTAGTAAATGGCTGTGAAGCCGTCAGGTCCTGGGCTTTTCCTGGGTTTCAGAGTTTTAAGAACTAGAGCGATTTCCTCGGCCTCGATGGGTGTTTCCAGCATGGCTTGTGCCTGGTTGGAGAGGGAGGGTAGATTGAGGGGGCGTAGAAAGGAGGAGATGGCCTCTGATTGATCCGTACCTCTCGTGGGTATCGTGGCAGCGTGGTTGTATAAGTTAGTGTAGTATTGCAGGAATTCTTGGGCTATTGCTTCTGGATTTGTTGTCGTTTCTCCAGTCTGAGTTCGAATTTTCGAGATTTTCTTGTTATCTTGCCGTTTTTTGAGGCAACGTGCCAGGAGAGAGTCCGCTTTGTTGCCTTTTTCATAGAATCGTTGCTTGGACCACATGAGGTTCCTTGCCACGTCTGCTGCCGAGAGTTGTTTGATGAGTTCTCGCGTTGTCTTGAGCTGTGCAACGAGTGCGTCGGACGGGCTTTGTTTGTGTAGGGTTTCGAGCCTTGTTAGGTCGGTCAGGGCGTCCGTAAGTTTCTGGAGTCGCTGTTTTTTAAGGGCTGTGGCTATGGCTATAAGGTCGCCTCTGATCGTTGCTTTGTGGGCTGCCCAGACCGTTGTTGGCGCCACTTCGTCAGTGGTGTTGAGGTCGAAGTAGATTTTCAGTTTCTCAGTCACGGTGTGGACTGTGGCCGCATCTTTGAGTATCCATGGATTAAGTTTCCAACGCCAAGGGCGTGCCAGTAATGGGATCTGTACCGTCAGCGACACTTCAGCGTGGTCGGACCACGCGATGTTTCCAATGTGCGTATGGGTGGTCCAGGGTTGAACTGCCGGGGAGATAAGGAAGCTGTCAATTCGGGAGTAGGACTTGTGTGTGTGGGAGTAGAAGGTGAAATCTACCGACGATGGGTGCTGGATTCTCCAGGCGTCCAGTAGGGGTGTATCGGTGAGGAAATCCGCGAACAGTTTATCGTTTCTAGTCGGGGCCGGTGTGCTGCCGGTGTGTGTTCTGCGGTCCGTTGCGGGTGTTTGGGTCGCATTGAAATCGCCGCCTACAATGAGGTGTTTGGCTGCGAGGCTCATGAGGTGGGCCTTGAATGTGCTCCAGAATGAGGCGTCCGGGGTGGTGGGAGCGTATAGTGAGCATATGGTTAGGGAGGTTGTCCCTGCACGCCCCGAGAGAAAGAGGAATCGCCCCGAGGGGTCTTTGCGGGTTTGTATGTCCTCTAGTGGGCAGGAGTTTCGTAGTAATATTGCGACTCCTTTTGTTTTTGCTTCCGGCGAGTTGGCCAGGTAGTACCTTTTAAAGTGTCGGTTGATTAGTGGGAATTGTTTATGGTCGGTAAAATGGGTTTCCTGAAGCAGGACGATGTCCGCTCCCGTACGGTTGGCCCATCGCAGTATCCCGTGTCTTTTCCCTGGTGAGTTAAGTCCCTTGACGTTGAGGGAGGTGAGGTGGATTTGGAGGTTCTGTGGCGCCATGTTGCCGTCGGAGGGTGGTCCCTGACCAGCGTTGAGGGAAGAGATGGTGTGCAGTGTAGCGTCCCTTCTAGTCTCGATGGCCGCGGGTGGGCAGTCGGTTCGGTTTGGTGTCAGCAGGGAGAGCGGGGGCAGGAGAGAGGGGGTGGGGGATCGGCAGGGTCCCGCCCGCGCGGGCCGGTGGCTGGGGGACTGGGCTTATCTAACTGGCCAGTCGTTGGTTAGGCGGGGGTCTCGAGTTCCTGAACCAAGGTCCGTGTGACGATCCTCGGGAGAGTCGAGGCCGGAGGGGTGGGGTGTGCGCAGGTGATGGCAGGGTCCGCCTGTGACCTGCCCGTGAATGTTTTAAGTTGGCTGAGCCGGGTATTGGGATTTGGGATAGGGGAGGTGGGTCATGGGCGGGTGCTCTCGTATGTGCGGTCCGTTATGTGGTGCG